CCCTGGGCCAGGGCCCGCCCGCCCCAGCGCGCACACCTCAGGGATGTCCCTCGCGCTGCCCAGACACCCCACCGGCTGCCGGGAGGGCCGCAGTGCGCCGGACCTCCTTCCCAGCCGCTGGCGGCTGAGGCAGGAAGGGGGCCCCGGCCCACACTGTTCTGTTTACACCAGGCCCGAGGTCGTCCTCGGATAACAAAGCTGCTGCTGAGCGCTGAAAGCAGCACCGTGCCCCCCTGCCCTCCGTGGCAATGCGAAGAGCCCCCAAACCCCCCCACCGCAAGATCCAGATGGCGGGAGAAGGGAGTGGGTACCAGGGCCCAGCTGGGCATCACTCAGAGCGGCCCCACGACTGCTCAGCCCCCACCTTTGCGGGTGTCCATCGAGGACAAGGACCGGGCAGCGCGGGAGGGGGCTGGCCACAGGGCCCTGACCCTCTCCCGCGCAGGGGGCAGAGGGCCTGCTGTGGGCTGGAGCGTTTCCTGCAGGGCTTCCTCCGGCAGAGCCCAGGGGGGGATGTGCTGGGCCAATATGAGCCCCCGGGGCTGCGCTGGCATTTTAAGCAGAGCAGTCAGACACCACGAGGTGGAAACAGCTCCTAGCGACCAGAGTGGCAGGGCATGGGCGCACGGGGCAGGATGCCTCGGGGAGCCCAGACTCCTGGGTCCTACCCCTGGGGGGGGTGTCTTTGGGGGCAACCCTGTTGCAAGGTGCGAGGCTGAATACTTGGGAGGGGCACATGCCACCCCTGCTGTCTAGAGTCCGCATTGTACCACCATGTGCCATAGACCCCAGGCAACTAATGGGGATTCTCCCTTGACGGAAAGGGGCTACAACCAGGATCCCAGCACGGGCCAGCTCCCTCCTCCCGCCTGGGGGTCATGGAGGGAGCGCAGGTCAGGCAAGTGCTTGCACCCCCCCCGGAAGGGCCCTGCTTCCCCAGCGCTGATGGATGGGGGGCAAAGCCACTGTGGGAAGTGAAGTTCAGGCCAGTCCTTCCCTTCCGACCACTTGAGGGCCTTGTTTATGCTCCTGGCCAGGAAACACAGCCTCCCGGCAGCACACGGGTTTTTCCACCGCTGGGCGCGGGCCCCTAACTGCTCAAAACACTGCCCTCCCTGCTCTGGGGCTGGGGGAAGCCCCCTAGCCATGGCCCTGTCCAAGCCCCATCCCCCTAGTGCGCTCACCAGGTGCTGCCCCCTCCAGCCACACCAGATGGGTAGGGGGCTAGGACCCCTTTCTGCCCGGGAAGCAGCAGCCGGTGCTTCCTGATGGTGCCAAGACCTGCACAGGCGGCTGCCGGCCATGGGTGCAGCTCCCAACACCCCACGGGCCACGACGCAAACGAGTGACCACAGCCCCAGGCATCAGAGCCAGCCACTCACCAGGTCATGGATGAGCCCCGGTGGTGCCAGCCGCTTCCCCCCAAAGCGGCTCCATGTGCACGGCCCAGGGATGTGCCAGGCCTGCCCACTGGCTGCCACAGGGTGACTGTGGGCTGCAGGCCGTGGCTCTCTGCCCCAGGGTGCAAGGAACCTTGCTCCACCCTGCAGGGCAACATAGGAAGCCCACAGAGTGATGGAGGGCTGGGCCAGGTGCCCGTGCTGGGCAGGAAGGGAAACAGCCAGAAGCCATGGAAAGGGTCCAGGGTGTTTTAATTAATACGGCACAGCACAACCTGCCCAGAGAGCTGGGGCAGGGTCTTGGTTCACTGCACCCCTCTGGCCTGCCCGCAGGTACCACTCTTTGGCCCTGTCCCCCTCCACCAGTGCCCCCCACTTCCAGCCCCCACTTGGCCCCCCAGGACCCTCTCCTCCGCAGCTGAGACCGCAGCGCCTGGAAACGCAGGCGATCGCTCTATCGGCACTGCGACCTGGCACTCCCCACCACGGCGCCTGCCTGTGCCCCTCACTTTCCGATGCAGAAGTCCCTGAAGACAATGTCCAGGATGTCCTCGGCTCCGACCTGCCCCGTGATGCGGCCCAGGTGCCGTCGCGCCAGCCGCAGCTCCTCGGCCGCCAGCGCCAGGTCCCCGCCCCTGCCCCAGTGGTACCGGCCCAGGGCGTCCAGGCAGCTGGTGAGGTGGAGGCGGTGCCGCGTCTGTGTGAGGCTCGGGGAGCCCACCAAGGGGTCACCGCAGCTGGACAGAGGTGAGATAAGAGGGGGTCACAGTCAAGGAAAGGCACCTGCCAGGGCAGTGGGTCACAGCCCCTTTACCGCTGCCAGCGCATGGGGATTCTCCTCCCACTCCAGGGGCTGGGGCTTGCCAAGCACCCCCACCCCCACAACCCTCCCTCCCCAAGTCCTTCCAACAGCAAGGCCCCTCCCCATTGCTGGCTCTAGCCCCCTGGGCCTTCACTGCCAGCTCAGTGCCCACTACCAAGGCAAGGCTAGGGGGTCCCAGCTCTTCTGCCCCTGCCCCAATCCCCCCAAGCTCACATGTGCTGCAGCTGCCCGCTCAGCAGGTGCAGGAGTGCGGCAGTGCCCTCCCCGGTCATGCAGGAAAGCAGGCAGGTGGGGGGCAGGCTGCCCCCTGCACAGGCCTGCCACAGGGCCCCCCGGCTCTGCTCTGCCAGCAGGTCGGTTTTGTTGAGCACCAGGAGGCAGGGCCTGGGAGGGAGGTTGGGGGGCAGAACGGCTTGCAAGGCTCCGGCAAGGCGCCCGGGTTGCGGGGCCAGCTCTGCTGCATCCAGCACTGCCAGGACCAGGTCTGCTTGCTGCAGCCTGGGAGAGGGAAGGGGAAATGGGTGTGAGGCTGGCTGCAACTCCCTCCCCAAAATCCCCCTACCCCATCCCAGGAGCGCCACTCCTGGCAGGCTGCAGAGACAGTGTGCACTCTTGCTCAGTGGCAAACAGGGGGTTAAATGGTGCAGGGGTTAGTAGGGACTTCCCCTGTCCCCTTTGGGAGCCCACGGCTCCCTGGACTCACCGGTCCCTGCCCCAGGATAGAGCAGCCGTGGGGCCGGTGGAGCCCTGTGCCCACCTCACCTGTCCCGTGCTCGGCTCACGCCCTCCTGCTCGACGGGATCCCAGGCGTCCCGCAGCCCGGCTGTGTCACTCAGCACCACGGGGTAGCCACCCACGTTCAGCGCCGTCTCCACCACATCCCTTGTCGTGCCTGGCACCGGCGACACAATGGCTGCAGGCCGCTGGCCTGGACGGGACAAAGCGGGGCATTAGGGCTGGACTGGAGCCCTGCTGGGGACCGCTGCTGTGATGGGGGCAGCCACAGGGCTCCTGGGCAAGGGGCAGACCCCAGCCACCGCCCCCAGGACCTGCCACTCCCTGGCAGCAGGAGCCAGCGGGGTGCCTGCTAGGCCCTGCTCCCCCTTTGAAGGGTAGGACCCTGACCCAAAGGCGAGGCTTGCAGCTGCCCCCCACGCAGGGGCATGGGGCAGGTACTGGGGCCGCAACCCCGGGATGAAGGCTGGGGATGATGGAGGGACCCCCACGGGCAACCGCAGCTTGTTAGAACTAACGAGCATGTAGCCAGAGCCTCCTGGCTGCAACTGGGGCAATGCCAGGGGCTCGTGCTGCCACCTGGCGGGCACCGGGAGCACTGCTGGGACCGGGAGATCCGACCAGGCCACGGGCAGGACCGTGGCCCCACGACGTAGGGGTGGCAGGACACTCAAGCAGGGGGTGCCTGGTCTGTGTGGCCAGCCCGGGGGCCTGGGGAGGGCTCCACTCACAGAGCAGGTTGAGCAGGCTGCTCTTGCCCGCGTTGGGGGGCCCGGCGATGACGACGTGGACGCCCCCGCGCAGCCGTTCCCCGCGCCGCCCATCCTGCAGGTGCCTCCGGAGCTCCTGATCCAGCTGGGCCACGGCTGCGTCCACTGCAGGGGCAGGAATTGGAGCGAGAAAGACAGCACAGCCCCATCCCTGACCACGGCCTCAATCCTGCAGCTGGCCCAGGTCAGCGTGGGGGGAGTGGGCCCAACCAGCCCAAAAGAGCCAGCGGGTCCTCAGCCCTCACCTCGAGTCAGCACGTCCTCCTCCACGTTGTCATCCTCACTGAAGTCAATAAAGGCTTCGATGTAGGCCAGAGCCTGCAGGGCAGGAAGGGTTAATGGGGGGGTCCCGTGCCCACGTGGGTCCTGCTGGGGCTGGGCCGGAGGAGCCGGGTCCCGTCTGCTCCCTGAAGCGAACCTCGGTGCAGCCGAGAGAGCAGAGCGTTTGGGGAAACTGAGGCCCAGTGTGAGGGGGCGACTCAGCCAAGGCCGCCTGGGCAGGCTGTGGCAGAGGGCAGGCCCTGGAGACGGCCCGGGGGGGACTGGCTCTTGCCTGGGTGAGCTCCTGGCTCCAACGCTGGTAGAGCTGCCCCAGCTCGCCCTCCATCTGGCGCAGGGCCTGGCGCCGCTGGGCCTCGGTCTCGGCGTGGATCAGGTCGCCCAGGCCCTCGGCCTCGGTCAGGTCCAGCTTGCCGTTCTGGAAGGCGCGCTTGGTGAACTCCCCGGGCTCGGCCGGGCGCAGGCCGGGCAGGCGCCCTGGGGGGAGCACACGGGCAGCGCATGGGCACGGCGCC